TGAGGTAAGCGTGTGATCCCTCATAACCCATAAGCCCCGCCCAGAACTCAAACACAAATCGTAAGTGAGATGAGTGGTCACCGTTTACCCAGTCTGTAACAAAGTAACAAAGGACCTCAACATGAACTTGTGGCAGAAGCGTCGCTCATTCTCCGAGTGGTAGCGACCCATGTGTTTGTTTTAATATGGCACTCGGTCTTCCTCGTCTCATACATTTCGTTTTATTGTCACCCTTGTGCAAACTCAGCAACAAAATAAAAATTACAAACAAAATACAAACCAACAACAACAACAACAACAATGTGGCTACTTTCGATTGGGATATCAGATAGGAATGGTTTGTTTTCTTCATCTTGATCAGTCCTGCCTAAGACGGCCACTTGTCTTATACGGCCACTTTTCTCCTTGACAATGGGTGGCCGTCTCACACAGGTTTGACTCCTGTATATGTATATGTATACACTAGTTTTCCCATGTGGGAACCCCATTGCAGACACGGTGACTACCACGAGGAGACCGTTGAACATCTTCTCCTTCACTGTCCAAACCTGGCAGTTCTTCGACGCAAGCTCCCTATACACACCTACAGACTTACAAAGCCTGCTCTACTCTGGCGTTGACCAGATGACAAGGACATGTGGTTACTTTAGGGAGGCATTGCGTTGCTAAGAGCGAAATGCTCGCAGCTAAAGGGATTTGAAAATAACAAACAACAACAAAACATACACTTGTTTTTATCAGGTAATATCATTTTGCATAAATTCAAGCTCATTTGAAAGATTTTGGGCACAGTAGCGGTGTTCATTGCAAACAGTAGCGGAGTTCGTTGCATGTAGAGGAAACGTGCACTTCAACTTGGCGTGTTTTGAACCAGACGTAGGCTAGCCTACGCTTCAGTGAAGAACCAACACAGGCGATTCTAGAAGTAGGCCAAAAACGTACACAAACTCAAGCAGAAATACGCTTATTAAATACATCGGGGAACATAAATACGGGGGACGGGGGTATAGGGAGAGAGAGACACACCCCCCGCCTCCACACGCACACACACAGAGGGACAGAGGCGTGCGGAAGCGGAAATTCACGAACGCAGTACACCGAGCACACATAGGCTAGATCTACTCACCAACGCAAAAGAGCACCATCAACTTACTCAGTGGCAATTGACACTACCTTTAAAATATCAAAGTGGTGTCTATAGGCCTATCCCATATATATAT